CTCCGCTCCGCCGCCGCCATCTTCCCTGCCCCGGCCCTCCCTCCCTCCCCGCGCCCGCCCCTCCGCCCCGGGAGGTGCGGCGGCCCCGCCCCCGGCCCGCCAAGGTGGTGCTAGCCAATCACCGTCGCAGGAAGGGGGGCGATTAGCCTGTAGCCATGACGACGGCAGGCGGGGTCGTTGTTATTCATGAGGGGAGGGCCACGCCCCCGCCGAGCGCGCGCAGCCAATGGGAGCGCGCGCGGCCACTGCCAGCTCGACTTGTTTTCTATATATACACACACAACAGCGCCCGCCCGACGCGGCCGGTGCTTTCTACCCAATAGGAGAACTGGTGCTCGTGACAAACAACCCTAAGGGCCAATCGGATAAAAAGACTCGAGACTCGAGAGTGGGACTAAACGGCTGCCACAAACGGGCAGGGCCCGCCCTGGTGGGTGGGTACTCTCTGAGATTAACCAATAAGAAGGAAGAGATTTTTCACAGGCAGTTGTGTAAGCCAATTGGAAGGGGAGGGAGCGCACCGGGTGCCCCTTCGAGCCGCGGGTCCGACGGTCCCAGCCGGCCGCTCCGCTGGGGTGACGGGCGCCGGGGGTCCCGGCCTGCCGGCAGCGCTCACCGCCTTCCTCAGGAAGCCGCCAGCTCCCGGGGCCCATGAGGGGTCGGCAAAGGGGCCCGATGCCCCTTCAGGCCCCAGGCTCCTGACAGAAAGCCCCTCCGCCCCCCGGCCGTGTGAGCTCGCGGCGTTCGGACGGTGAGGGGCCGAGGAACGGGGAGCGCCCCGCCCGCTGAGGGGTTTTGCGAGCCGGCCGGCGGGGAAAAGCCGCCCGTCCTGTTCCTCCTCCGCCGCCGCCCCCAGGCGCAGGTCGGAGCGCAGCGAAGCAGGGGAGGGTTTATGTTTATTTCACCCGGCGGTGAAACCACTTCAGTCATCCCGGCTTATTTATCGCGGCGCGAGACTCCCCGCTCTGGTTAATTAAGCGAGACGAGACGAGAAAGGGGGAAATTGCAGCTCGGGGAAATTAACTCGCCTCAGGTTACGCGGCGAATTAACCGCAGGGGCCGGGAACGAACCCCAGCCGGCCCCGCTCTCCGGGCACGGCCTCCGCCTCCCGGGCCCCTTTCCGGGGTGGGAGGGGGTATACGGGAGAACCGAAGGGCCCGGCCGCAGCGACACGCACCCACACACACACATACCCCCTTCCCGCTCCCCTCGGGCCGCCCCGCCCTCTGACGTCAGGGGGGCGGGCGCGCTCCCGACGTTGGCGCGTGCGGGGCGGGCCGCGGGGCACGCGCGCGGCGGGGGTCGCGGGGCGCGCGTGTGTAAAGAGCGGAGCGAGCGGGACCCGGCGCGCGTGCGCCGTCGGTGTGGGGCGGCCGGGGCTGAGGCAGCGG